CATTTTGATGGGTAAACAAGCCACCCGACAATGATAAATTTGACATCCACGTGCACAGATCTAAGGCCTGTACCCGAAAAAAATGCACCAGACAAAAGTGTTCGCCAAAAATTTGTTTTAAGTCGGATTTTCTTGAAACTTTCAGGGAATAAACTAATACATATGGATTATGTTTTGGCATAATTACTTTATTCAATTTCCTTTCCATCGCTGAAAGCCCGCACCTTTCCCTTAAGACCCTTCATTACATTTTGTGCAATGGTGGAGCTGACCTTTTTGGTCACTTTCATCCATTCTTTCTTCAACTCTAGCTCGTTCTTAAACATCTTGGACGATTTTCGAACTTTGGCCTTCATTATGGCCCAAAATCTTTCCACCGGACGAATCACTGGTGAATTTGGGGGTTGGCGGTTTTTAGTACAAAAACAACGTTATTGTCACTGTACCAATCCAACGTCGATCGCGCGTAATGGCATGATGCCAGGTCCGGCCAAAATAATGTTTCGCCTCCGTGGGACTGCAGGAAGGGCAACAGACGCTTCTGGAGGCACTCGGGGCGGTAAACTTCGCTGTTGATGGTACCCATTGTAATGTACGGTTTACTCAGTTTACCGCTTTGGGATATGGCCTGCCAGAGCAAGTATTTTTTGGCGAATTTGTCCACTTTCTTCTTCCTTATGTCTTCCGGAACATCAAACAGTGATTTGGCAACGTAGAACTCCAGCCCCGGTATCTGCTTTGCGTCTGCCTTGATGTAGATTTCGTCATCCATAACCACACACATCGGTTTCGATAACCACTCTCGATACAGCTTCCTTGCGCGGGATTTGGCCACCGTGTTCCTTCCGGACCTTGAATACACGAAGCCCAGCTCGTTTCATGGTTTGCTGAACGAACCAGGCGGAACACTTTGCCTTCAGAGCCGCGTCGCGAATCGAAAGGTTCGGATTACGCTTGAAATAATCCAACACCTTCCGGGCCTTCACAGGGTCAGCTGTCTTCGATTTTCTTCCACTTCCAGCCCGCCGCTCGGACGTCTGGGGCTCCTTAAACGATTTTACCACCCGAGAAACAGTTCCCAAGCAACAATTTTTGTTTTATTTAAGTTTTATAGCAGTTGATATAACCAAATTATAAAACCTTAACTGACGACCACATTGCTTTAAGAATCTCCTGAGAACCGCAATACAGCCATGTCATGGCCAATTGGCCCAGTTTTAATGCAGTCATTAAAACTTGATATGCGAACTACTTTAGGAGCATAGGATTTATGTCAGTTTTATCACACTTTAGACGTGATTGTTAAAAATGAAAACATAAAACCTCCTCCAGGTCAGAAAGTTTTAACAGCTTTCTAATGACTACCATAAAACTATATTACAACCGCATAAATCGCTCCTGAAGAAGTTGATAAAACATGATACGCAAAACATTTTGACAACTTTGAAGGTTTTAAGTTGGGGTTTTTGGATGATAGTTAATATTGAGAAATATTTTATTGTGGTTTTATTCTTTCGATGTTTGATGTGAAATCATGATCCTTGTCAGTTGGTAATAATGGCTGATATTATTGTACATTGAAAATAAGACGACTTTATTATAATTTTAAACCAATCTGTATATGCTTCACAGTATGCCGTGCAATATTTATGGTGATTATTATACCAAATAGGAGCATAAATTTAGTGCGCCATATGAATACTAAAATATAGGGATATTTTTAATTTGTCTGCATTAGCACCATGCATTAAAGAGTCATTCAAATATTATCTATTTAGTACAAAACTGTTACTACTGTTGAGCAATAACCAGTCACATATTATTTAATTATACATAGATGTATGAAAGTGCTTTATTGCCTATCAATTAAAGCGTAATTATTCATACTGTGTGAAATTTGTTCATACGGCAACATTTTTTTTTCGTTATAACTTGCTACTCCTTAAAAATACCTCAATATAACATATTCTCCTAGATTGGAATTCTATAGCATAACATAAACCTAATGGTTGTATTTCGTAGTCCAAATTAAGAGCGTTAAGCTATATTTAAGCTCTATAATTAGCTTGCTGGTTTTATTAGGTACAGCGAATCAAAACAAAACAAAAACCATGACCACCTGTCAAAAAGTCAACATTCCAAGCGATCCTCCTATTTTCGCTTGTAATCAAGATGTAAGAAATGCTTATTGGATCCACTAAAAGCTTTTTCAATACAAGGTTTAAAGCCGTGATGTCAATACTGGCCATCTCCAAACGGATTTAGTGAAACTGTCGGCGTTGCTTTAAGAAGGGTTCGTGGATCTTTCGGAAGTGTATCGGAAAGCCGCTTGTTTAATATTTTTAAGAGCTCCTTCACCGCACGGTGCCTTATGTAGGGATCGTATAACTGTAGTTCCTCCAGGAGTTTCATATTGTCGATCGTCTCATCTTCATCGTGTTCAGAAGCACTGAAGGGGTTTTCATTTCATATATCTGAATAGATTTGTTTTTTATAATGACAAAAAATTTCAGAGTATTTTTTGTTGTAGCAGTATATTTCTTATCTGTGAATCTTAGGCCTCTGATAAAGATGATAGTTGTAATGAAGCTTTAATGAAGGTCTAAGACTGCTTCAAGTTTTATATCGGTCATAAAAAGTGTACCATAAAACATAATTGTATGTTTTGTTTTGGTTTTTTCTTCAGTTATAAGTAGTGATGCAGAACCACCTTACAGCTACCGTTATAACTATGAAGTCTGAGTTTTAATTTAGTAGTCATAAAACAGTTTTATAGACGACTTGACGGCCTGATTTTATGACAAGCACATAAAACCGTAATACAACCACAGGCTGGAAGGGATGCTATGATAAAACAATGATAAAATAAGAATAAATCTTCCAAGCATTTAGATTGTTACTTGGGTTGTCTTCCGATCCATCTCATGGTCTCAGTCGGATTTTCCATGACGGCGCGCAAAATTCTCCGGCGATTTTCTTCTTGTTTCGATGACATCTCAATAACCACTGAATCGATTGTTATGAAATTTTGCACATGTAAACAATTCACTCCAAACTAGTTATACCCAGATTTTCATCAATTTTTACGCACGGTTAGCTTAAACTAACCGTGTGAACAATCAACATAAGTCGGAAAAACTGCGCGAATTTGGATCGAACAACTTCGCGTCAATGCGAAAGTAAGTTCATTTGACAATGAAAGATGATAACTTAGAATGAACACGAGTCAAGCTAAAGCAAGCAGGATTAAAACTGATGGAAACTAAGCGACGCCGGTTGTGTAGTGGTAAGCGTGATTACCTCTCACCCCAGCAGGTCTGGGTTCAAGCCAAGGGAAGTAAAGCCGTTGGTCCCCGGTTCATGAGTTGATGGGTTGATATGTAGGGTCCAGGTGTGGGAGCTGCCTCCCTGAAAAAAAAAACTGATCGAAAGTGGTTCTGTTGATGTTGAAGGGGATCTACTAGAGAAGACAGAATGACTTTCAATTGAAAGTGATGGTTGACAGCTTCGTCGTCGCTTGACGATTTTCGATTGAAAGCGACTTTGTTGGGCCCTGCATGGAGTCGACGTAGAATATGAGATTTGGCTTAATTGGTTCCAACATGGAATATCTCGCGATCCTGGACAAATAGAAGGTTCCTGTCTTCTGCAAGGTAGTTAAGTGCATCAAGGCCTTATGGTTGATGGACAGCAGTTCATAATTTTCTCACCTAGCGGCGCTAGTGTATTTTCTGCTTAAACCATATACTAAGGGGATGCATATAAGTTAGTCGGTAAAAAAATCGTTGGTTGGTATAAGAACACATCTTATTTTTTTTAATTTGTTTTCAGGGCCATTACCATAAACGAACGATAACCCAAATGATTGAACTATTCCACAAATGGTTTGGATGATCCCCTGAACACGCCGTTAAGCATAAATTAACCAAAACATTTTTATTAGGGTTGGTAACAAAATTTTTAAGATATTTTTATTTGAAGTTAGTGGTTTGAAAAAATGGGTCCCACGATATCTCATCACTGCGTTGACCAAATCAGCTCATTTTTCAGGTGAAGACTCGTTAATCAGGTCCCGTGTGCTTGACAAAGGCCGATTTTTGAAAAGTGGATTTTACAAAAGATAAAATTACTTTTATGTTTTTTTCATATAAAAAATCTCAGTTTTTTATTTTTTGTCATTAAAAATAAGTAAATTTTAAAATCTGGCTTGGTCATGCACACGGGATAAATCTTGTGAGTCTACACCCTAAATTTGAGCCATTTTGGTCCATCCAGTTCTGAGATATCGAGAAAATCCATCTTTAGACCACAATTATTTACAAACCGCAACATTTCACCTCAACACATAGATGTAGCCAGAGGGGGCAGAGGGGGCAACTGCCCCCTTAACTCAGAAAAATAAAGGCTTTCAGTGAAATGGCGTTCGGTAAAATGACGTGCCTCAACACGTGTTTACTCATGCTAATACGTGTTTACTAATACTAATTCTAACACGTGTTTTCTAATACGAATCAAATCTGACCATTTTTGAAAAATCGATTTTTTGGTTTATTTTACATATTCTAAGTGACCCCTTGAGATCCTGGCTATATAGAAAGTTTTTGTCTTCGGTAAAGTTGTTCAGGTAAACAAGACTTTTCGGATGGTGGGTTAGTAGAAACTTCATTCACTACGTGGCGTTAGTGTACTAGTGAATTTGTTTATAAGCTATATATTTGAGATCTTGGCCACATATGAAATATCAGTCTTCGGCAAAGTTCTTCACTACGCGGTGCTAGTGTGCATGTGTATTTCCTGTTTATGCTAAATCTTGAGATCCTGGCCATCTAGAAAGTTTCTGTCTTCGGCACCTTACGGACAACAAATACAGCATTCTCTCCATATTTGTGGTCGATAATACCGATGTTTCTAGGTTTAGTGTCAACCATAAACTAAAAGCTCGCTAATCGAAAGACCATTACCTGAATGTCCGTTAACTAAAACAACCTGTCAAAATTGTCGAAATGTATAAAAAAGTAACATGCACATTGTCGCACTTAAAATGCATTTTTAACTGGTTCGACTTATGAAATACATTTTTGCTTGCCAATACACAGAGTGTATAAATACGGGAAGAATCTGCAAAGAAACTGAACGTTGATAAGACTCCAGAATAAAATAGCTTTCCGCAGAAACTCGGACCGATCAGTTCGGTGGTGATCATCGCGCAGAGCGGACGTAAATCAGCAAACCCCCTGAAAGCGATTCAGCAGTGTCAGTTTGTGTCTTGAAGAAGAAAGAAAGAGTGCGCGTTCGGAAGAAGGCAGCATGATGATGCCGCCAGCGAGGAGCAGCATGTGGATCTTTCCGTTCCTACTGTGCTGTGGATTGCTAATCGAGCTTACCCAGAGTCAAGGGTCAGTTAGTGTGTTTTGATATGGCCCACGTTAAGATGCACTGCTCGGGGATTCCCTGCTTCAGAGAATCCCCGAGTAGGTGATAATGCTATATGAACTGAAGAAGCGAGCTTGAAGATGGTGCGCGGAAAGAGAAATGGGATTTTTGCTTTTGAAAATATTTAAAAAAGTGCGCATTGATTATGAATGAAGAAATGATACTTGCAATAACACAAAGAGCTGTGATCCAGAAAATGAAACCGGGTGTTCGCTGTTGAAAGATTAATTAAACAAATGTCTATGAAATGTCGTGTTTAGCGTGAGAATAATGATTAAGGTTAAGGTATTCTCGTTGAACCGGTTGCAATTTAATGTGTTAAAAACAAAGAAATTAGTTGTTTGATGAAAGGAAGAAGCTGTGAATAGCATTCTGGACTATGTGACATCGATTAACTGATAATTATTTAAATGGACTGATAAGATGAAACGGTACATTAACTGTTGAAACAGTGTGGAGCAGTTTTCGGGAGGAATTGAATCAAAGTTTACAACGTAATTACTATCATAATCCGCATGATAATTACAATTGCAATATTTGAGATTATTTCACCGAACATTAACGGCGTTTAAACGATGGCCTCCGCAAACAAGGTTCAGGCCATTTTCAGATAAGACTGTGTGCGAACCTCCTATGGGAATTGGCCAGTCAATGGTCATTAGGGTGGTTCAAACTACCGATTTTGCTCCAACATGCTCAATCGATTCGAAGCCAGATTCCGATAATTTCCTCAAAATTTTAGTTCATATGGATGCGAACCCATACTGAACTGATCGTTTGAAGTTTATTTGAGAAGTATTATGGGAAAAGTTTGCTATTTTTTCTTATGGGGAATGTATCAGCTACTAGACCACTTTTTGATTAGACTTCAAGGTAATAAGTTATTAAATAATTTCGAAGCCGATAACTTTCTGATATGATTAATCGACTGCTCTCAGGGCAACAATGCATCTTACACTTATGACATAGTAGTCTGGATTATTTGTCCTATGATTTGCGCCAAGTACACTAATGTTGCTTGCTGAGCAGTTGATGGTGCATGTCAGAAAAATATCATCTTCTTAATAAATTAATATCTAATTATCCTGACGTTCCATCAAAAAGGGGAGTTGTAGTTGGGAAAATTTCACATTAGTACAGTTAGCTTACTTTTCCGTAGCTCATTACAGCGAAGGGCTAGAACAATGATAACAAGAACTTCTCTTTTTCCATACAACCTTTAAAGGGCCAGTGTAGTATGAGTTCGCATTCAAATGAGCTAATTTTTTAGGAGAATTATCAGGACCTGATTTGAAATCGATTGAGCTTGGTGGTGGAGCAAAATAGATATTTTGAACCACCCTAATGGTCATCTTCTATAGCGGTTATCAGGAAAAATTGCAAAAGGACATTTTGTCGATCTAAAGAAAAAACCAATAGCTCTTATGTCTGTTAAAAAAATACGTAACGCAAAAGCGGGAGGGGGGAATATAGAAAAGTGTTACAGTTTGCAACACTTTGATGAGGAGGAGTGAGTGGGTGCTTGGTGGTGTTACGCGTACAAATGCAACTTTAAGAAATTTTGTAAACATATGATGCGTAGGAAAAGGAAAACTCTGAAAATGGTGGATGAGTGTGAAACATCATCATTGATGGATTTGTTATAAAGACAAAGTATGTGTATTCGAAGATTCAGTGCTTTCTGGATTGAACTGAGAACCAACCAGTGCTGCATAATCTCGACACGGCGATATTGATAAAGGATTTATTTGTCAATTTTCAGTGACAAACATGTGCAGTTTTTGTTATTAGGTTCGTAACGAAATTATATGAATGCATCACATAATTCGAGCAGTTTAAAATTACGTTTCCTAGCACTCGAACTTTGCCGTGGAACAATATTTTGAATTAATCTTTTAGAACCACTAGAAAATAGGGTCTTGTTTATGCTAAGCTGGAAAAATCTGGAATTTGTTGTTCCATTTTCTTCAAATCGCTAGTAGAAGGTCGTCTCAAAACTACTCGAAAATATGATTAATTGAGCAAAATAAATCGAAGGAGCCGTTAACGTGAACAAGCATCTACATCCTTAACTGGATTACAATAATAAGACACGGAATGCACGAAATTACACTTAACCAGGCGAATCTTTGTCATTGACGAAAAATGAGTAAATGAGTTTTTACGAAGGATTATGTGAGGATCAATTCATCCAGTGACGATCACAAACAAACAACATCCAGTGACGATGTCAACAATAATTTTGTAACAACAATAATGTCGCGAGAAATATTTCAATGATAAATCTACGCACTGGTACCAACATTTAAATGAAGAATGGATGGCATCTCATGCAGTGCTGTCATATTAGATTTAGTGCTGTTTACTATGTGTGCTCCGCCCACCTCAAATCCTTACGCTCCCTTCAAGGAACCACTAATTGTGTGTAATTAAATTAGGGCCCGGGTTAAACTTGTATACAATCAACTCATCTTAAATATTCACAATACCTACTGATTTTTCGTGTATTGGTTCATCAAGTTTTTTTTACCGTCGATCTTGTTTTCGTACTGAGTACTAATGTTACTGTTCCATCCAAGTAATCACGATGTTCCATTCAAGTAATCGCAGCAACCTACAGCTGCGACCGAGATGGAAAAATTAGTGATTCAAAGTGTAGATGTCAACCTGAATAAACGTATAGTTAGAAGCACTCAAACTTTCTTTATTCTTTGAGAAGAACACTTCAGTTGGCGACGAGGATTTTTCTGGAGGCTCACAAGAAATTCCAGAATCGAATTTTGCAGCTTCTCCAGCGGTTGGCCGTTCCACAAGCAGCGAACCCAGAGCAAGTTTTGGAATCCTTGTCGACGAACATCAGCGAGTTCTGCTTCGATCCGGAGAACGGCACCACATTCGTTAAATGGTTTGCCCGTTACTCGGATTTGTTTGAAAGCAACGCACGAAGTCTGGACGACGCAGCAAAAGTTAGGCTTCTGCTCCGGAAGTTGGACACGTCCTCTCACAGTCGCTACGTCAACTACATCCTTCCGAAACTACCAAAGGACGTCACGTTTGCCGATACCATCAAGACACTCACAAAGATCTTCGGCAGACAGACCTCCGTATTCCACAAACGCTACCAGTGCATGCAGCTACTCAAGTCCGAGACCGACGACATAATCACCTATGGCGGAAAAGTCAACAGGGCATGTGAAGAGTTCGAGTTCCAGAATTTGAAGATTGATCACTTCAAGTGCTTGATTTTCGTCTGTGTTCTCAAAGCACCACGCTACGCGAACATTCGAGCAAGGCTTCTATCCCGGATTGAAGGTGAAACGGCTGATGCTCCGGTGACAATTCAAACTCTGATCGATGAGTTTCAGCGGCTCGTCAACATCAAGTCGGACACTACGATGATCGAACATCCACCAAGTTCGAAGAATTCGGTCAATAGCATTTCGGAGAAGAAACCCGGAAACCAGCATCGTCCACTGAAAACGGAAAGCAAGTCCACTCCTCGTACTCCATGCTGGCAGTGTGGTCAGATGCTCTACGTCCGTGACTGTCCATTTTCTGATCATCTCTGCAAGGTATGTAACCGCATCGGTCATAAAGAAGGCTACTGTAGCTGCATCAAGAAGTCTTCAAGCGACTCTTCAACTCAACCTCGAGAGAAGAAGCAGTTCCAGAAGAAGGCCGGTCCCAGATCTCAAGCCAAGGGAATTTTCGTGAAGCACATCGCAAACAGCAACCGGAAACGCAAGTATGTGGCCCTTAACATCAATGGTGTTATGACTTCGCTACAACTGGATTCTGCAAGTGATATCACGGTGATTTCCAAGAAAACTTGGCAGCAACTGAGACGATCAAAGCTAACTCCATTTTCGATCGAAGCCTCCAACGCATCTGGTGGACCACTCGCTCTCATCGGAGAATTCCATTGTGAAGCAGTCCTCAATGACATGGTCAAGCGTGGTCAGTAGACTGATGCAAAATTTGACTTTTTCGCTCCACAGTGCTTAAATGGTTTCAAATCGGGTCGTGATTAGCCTCCAAAGGTTACAATTCATTTGGTTAGAAACAGACTTCGCACAAACCATTTGAAGTTTACATGTATATTACTATGGGAAATCTCAACTTTTTGTTCATTGCCTTCTAGTCTTTTTCCATATTGAGCTGCAAAACAGCTCGATAGCTATTCTTATAGAAAACTTTCTCAGCTACAACTTTGCTGAAGTTCGTTTGTTTGTAAAACGAGACAGGAAATAGTTATTAATTATTTAAGAGATTGGTAAACTTATGACATGATCAAGCAGCTGCTCTGTAGGCAACACTGTATTTTGTAGTGTGACATAGTAACCATAATTTTTGTGTCCTATTCAACGCCCCAGAAACACCAATGTTGCCTACTGAGCAGTTGATTGAGCATGATCATAAGACATCAGTGCATTGAACCATTAATAACTTTCGATCCTTGTATTTAATCAAAAAGTAGTCTTCAGCAAAGTTGTAGCTGGGAAAATTTCCTACTAGTAAAATTGAAAGCTCTTGAAGCAGACTGATATGGTGAATTATTAGATAGACATGAACAAAAATCTTGGTTTTACCATAGTAATTCCCATACAAACTTCAAATGGTTTGTGCCATCTCAGTTTCTCACCAAATGGGTTCAAATTTTGAGAGGTTAGTCAGGATCCGATTTGGAATCGTTTAAGTTTGTGGAGCGAAAATTTCAAATTTTGCATCACTCTAGTGGTCAGTGTTTCGTAACGTCATCACCAGATCTCAACGTAATGGGTATTGATTGGATCGACATGTTCAACCTGTGGTCGGTTCCGTTCGATACTCTCTGCAATCAAGTTTCTGCTGTATCTAGACCATGTTTCGCCGAAGCTAGAGCACAGCTGCAAGCCGAGCATCGGGCGGTTTTCGACGACTCGCTGGGCCACTGCAAGAAAACCAAGGTAAAGTTATTCCTCAAACCTAACGCCAAACCAGTTTTCTGTTCGAAGTGACCAGTTCCGTTCAACACGATTCCGCTGGTGGATGCAGAATTAACACGTCTTCAGTCTCTGGGAATCATCAACCCCCCCCCCCCCCCCCCATGGAGCTGGTGCGATCAAGCCGGATAATGTTGTTGTCAGGCAACCAGAAGCTGTCGCCGGACTTTAGATGGGTCTCGGTTAGAAGGCCCACGTCGATGCTGTGCTTACGGAGGAAGTCGGCAAGCTCAATCTGTTTTGCTTTTACAGAGCAAGCGTTCCAGGTAGCGATGGTTAGCGGTTTAGACACCATACTGGATGATGAACTTACCGAGCACTTGGATCTGTTCGGATTTATTGCGGCACTTACGAAGAGCACCGGACATGTTGACGAAAATTTCCATCAGTTCATCCGCTGAGAACAGATCGGGGTTGTTGTTTTGCGCTGGTGGTTGTCTCCAGAATCCAGGGGGGATGGAGAGCTTTGGCCAGCAGAATCACCAGAAGTTGCTTGAGCGGAATGCACCCGCGAATTCTCTTGCCTTTGCTGAGGAGCACGAAGAGGCGGGAAATCCTCCGTCCGAAATGCCGGGACTTTGTCCTTCTTGCGTCCTGATTGGTTGTTAGTTGCCGCCTGTTTTCGTATGCGTTTGAAGTCCTCGCGTTTGGAGCACTGTATGTCGGAATCTTGGTGAGCACCACCACAGTTAGCGCATTTTAACGCCACGGCTCCATCCGCAGGGCAGTCGGAAGTGGCGTGGTCTTGAGCGCAATTGCCACAGCGTGGTTTAATGTTGCAGTTGCGGGTGCCGTGACCAAAGTTCAGACACCGTTGGCACTGAGTCACATCACGATGGCCGCCACGGTATGGCTCCCAGCGGACGATGATGGAATTGATGGAGCGGATGGCCTTCAGCGCGTTGAGCGTCACCGTTCCCTTCTGGAAGTGTACCAGGAAAAGACTATCCGGATACGCCTTCACATTTTCGTCCTTCCTTGTCATCCGATAGACGGCACTTGGGGCCAGCTTGTACCGGTCTCTGATTTCAGCTTCGATAAATTTCGGGTCGAAGTTTGGTAGGCCCCTAATGACGACCTTGAATGGCTTCTCACCGGGAATGTCGTGGGTGAAGAATTCCACCTTGGAAGTCCTCAGGTGGGCGACGACCAAGTCATACTCCGCTTTGGTACGGAGCACCACCTTGGAGCCGACTCTGCCCAACTTGTATTCGGCTTTAACGCCCAGCGTCGCTAGATCTGCGATGAGCTCATTAAGATGGGCATTTTTCACTACCAATGGAGGTAGCTTCACTTTTGCCGCACTCGGGCCGGCAGAATTTTCGTTGCCGATGGCGTCGCCGGAATCACCGATGTCGCTGGCGTTCGTCGCAGTGACATCGGACTGGCCTCGATTCTTCTTTCTCTTCTTGCTGCGTTTTTCCAACACAGCTGGCTGGATATTCCCATCCATGGGGAGAACAGCAAACCTGTTCGAGGTAGGACAGGTTTGCTGTCACCGGGGTTCTGGACCTTCGCCGGGCTTCGCAACCGATGCTTCCCCATTTCGGGGCACACACACACGCACGACAAACCGCGAAAGAGAGCGCGAACACTATCGCCACGAACTTTTCAAACAACTCGAGAGAGCGAGCTAACACCGAACTGAACTGCTTGACGATCAAGCAGAGAATCCACTGGTCGTTGAGCTAATGCCATACAGCAGCGCTCTTTTATATCTTTTCAGGTTAAAGCAGAATGATGTGCAACCAAGTGGTATAAAGGCTACAAAGACTCCTCCCATTATGAGTAGTTTGCTATCAAGTAGCGAGACTGGCTCTTTTCCTTTTGCATACACGGCGAATGAGAACGACCCAAATTTGAGTTTAGTTAACTCATAATCGCCAAAAGTGCAGGAACTCAGCGATGAGTAAATTTGTCTCATGGTTTCCTGTGGAAAACCTAAAAAATCTGCCAGAAAATGAGGAAATTGACGAAAATTATATTCAGTCTCGGAGTAGTACCAATAGACTGAGTGAATCCAATCTTTACTTTTCTCAAATTCGGGAATTTTTCCCTGGAAAATCCTGGAAAAACCTGGGAAAACATGAGGCAAATTTACTCATCGCTGAGTTCCTGCACTTTATTTCTTATTTCTGAGATAACTAAACTCAAATTTGGGACGATCTCATTCGCCGTGATATCACCTTGAAAGATATCGGCGCCGGTGGTTAGAGTGATAACCTCTCACCCCAGCAGGCCTGGGTCCAATCTCAGTACGGAAAACAAATCTCGCGTCTTTTTTCAATAGGTCCTATCTAGATTGATCGATTCTCTTCATCGACACTCTCTTTCGTAAATAACTCGGCTTCACAAATGTTTCCTGTCGTCTTCATCGAATAAGATGCTACATTGTTGCTTCTTCCATCGAAAATATCCGGCCGTGGCGATTCAAAGTTGATCAAGGTTGATCAAAATAATTTGTACCCCTGCTTCCAGTTTGATTACATGAGCATTTTGTGTGGTCGTTGGTTCTGAATATGGACAAACAGGCAGATGAATTCTATTCCTACTCTTTACTGTAATAAGTTTGGTGGCCCTGAAAAGAGCCGTTTTGTTGCCAAAGTTGGTGATGATTCAACCTCCGAAACCAAACAGAGTGCGTCTCTGTCACTTCAGAACGTAGATGACATCCATGGCCGCTTACGCTTGGCGTGTTTAGTGTAGGTGACACCATCACAGATCTCATTTTTTAGGAACACCTTCAGCACGCCTCGTAGATCAGACCGGAGATACGTCAGACACCGCCACGGCGAGCTAGACGACGGATGGTGGTTATCTCGAAGAATTATCGTTTGGTTCTGAATATGGCGATGAGTGTGCAAAATATTACGCAATTCCATCCTCCCTATTCGCACGCGCCCGAGGATCGGAGGCGAATGCCACTTCGACTTGTTTCGTCTACTTACTACTCTCTGACGACTGTGCTGGGGAAGCAGCATATGCATGTAGGCAATTGGTGGATTTGTTAGTTAATTCGACGCTTTTGGACAATGGTGGACATTTACCAGTTTTTCAATAATTTCTTGTTGAAAATCAACATTCGAAAGCATTGTTATCGATGCGTAGCCATATTTCTGATCGATTGGTGATAAAATTATTGAAATTGAACCAGGGACAGCTGAGTTATTAACGTTCAAAATCTTTCTTAATTTGTTACATGTTCCATTTTCGGTTTTCACAAAGTGTACCCCCATATAGAAATCAAAGACGTAGTCCTACGTCAAAAACTGATCGAAAGTGGTTTTGTTGATGTTGAAGGGGATCTGCTCGAGGAGAAGACAGAATGACTTTCAATTGAAAGTGATGGTTGACAGCTTCGTCATCGCTTAACGATTTTCGATTGAAAGCGACTTTGTTGGGCCCTGCATGGAGTCGACCTCGGAGTCGACTTAGAATATGAGATTTGGCTTAATTGGTTCCAACACGTGTTTACTCATGCAAATACGTGTTTACTAATACTAATTCTAACACGTGTTTTCTAAAACGAATCAAATCCGACCATGTTTGAAATATCGATTTTTTGGTTGATTTTACATATTCTATGTAACCCCTTGAGATCCTGGCTATATAGAAGTTTTTGTCTTCGGTAAAGTTGTTAAGGTAAACAAGACTTTTCGGATGGTGGGCAGATTAGTAGAAACTTCATTCACTACGTGGCGTTGGTGTACTAGTGAATTTGTGTATAAGCTATATATTTGAGATCTTGGCCACGGTCTTTGGCAAAGTTCTTCACTACGCGGTGCTAGTGTGCATGTGTATTTCCTGCTTATGCTAAATCTTGAGATCCTGGCCATCTAGAAAGTTTCTGTCTTCCGCACCTTACGGAGAACAAATACAGCATTCTCTCCATATTTGTGGTGGGTGGTACCGTCTACCCACCGATATTTCTAGGTTTAGTGTCAACCATAAACTAGCTATTACAGAAAATCAGTTCAACTATGAGGGAATGCTGTACGCTAAACGCTCACTAAATGAAAGACCATTAACTAAAACAACCTGTCAAAATTGTCGAAATGTTTAAAAAAGTAATATGTACATTGTCGCACTTTAAATGCATTTTTAACTGGTTCGACTTATGAAATACATTTTTGCTTGCCAATACACAGAGTGTATAAATACGGGAAGAATCTGCAAAGAAACTGAACGTTGATAAGACTCCAGAATAAAATAGCTTTCCGCAGAAACACGGACCGATCAGTTCGGTGGTGATCATCGCGCAGAGCGGACGCAAATCAGCAAACCCCCTGAAAGCGATTCAGCAGTGTCAGTTTGTGTCTTGAAGAAGAAGAAAGAGTGCGCGTTCGGAAGAAGGCAGCATGATGATGCAGCCAGCGAGGAGCAGCATGTGGATCTTTCAGTTCGTACTGTGCTGTGGATTGCTAATCGAGCTTACCCAGAGTCAAGGGTCAGTTAGTGTGTTTTGATATGGCCCACGTTAAGATGCACTGCTCGGGGATTCCCTGCTTCAGAGAATCCCCGAGTAGGTGATAATGCTATATGAACTGAAGAAGCGAGCTTGAAGATGGTGCGCGGAAAGAGAAATGGGATTTTTGCTTTTGAAAATATTTAAAAAAAAGTGCGCATTGATTATGAATGAAGAAATGATACTTGCAATAACACAAAGAGCTGTGATTCAGAAAATGAAACCGGGTGTTCGCTGTTGAAAGATTAATTAAACCAATGTCTATGAAATGTCGTGTTTAGGCTGAAAATAATGATTAAGGTTAAGGTATTCTCGTTGAACCGGTTGCAATTTAATGTGTTAAAAACGAAGACATTAGCTGTTTGATGGAAGGAAGAAGCTGTGAATAGCATTCTGGACTATATGACATCGATTAACTGATAATTATTTAAATGGACTGATAAGATGAAACGGTACATTAACTGTTGAACCAGTGTGGATCAGTTTTCGGGAGGAATTGAATCAAAGTTTAGAACGTAATTACTATCATAATCCGCATGATAATTACAATTGCTATATTTGAGATTATTTCACCGAACATTAACGGCATTTAAACGATGGCCTCCGCAAACAAGGCCATTTTCAGATAAGACTGTGTGCGAACCTCCTATGGGAACTGGCCAGTCAATGGTCATTAGGGTGGTTCAAACTACCGATTTTGCTCCAACATGCTCAATCGATTCGAAGCCAGGTTCCGATAATTTCCTCAAAATTTTAGTTCATATGGATGCGAACCCATACTGCACTGGTCGTTTGAAGTTTATATGAGAAGTATTATGGGAAAAGTTCGCTATTTGTTCTTATGGGAAATTTATCAGCTACTAGACCACTTTTTGATTAGACTTCAAGGTAATAAGTTATTAATTAATTTCGAAGCCGATAACTTTCTGATATGATTAATCGACTGCTCTCAGGGCAACAATGCATCTTACACTTATGACATAGTAGTCTGGATTATTTGTCCTATGATTTGCGCCAAGTACACTATTGTTGCTTGCTGAGCAGTTGATGGTGCATGTCAGAAAAATATCATCTTCTTAATAAATTAATATCTAATTATCCTGACGTTCCATCAAAAAGGGGAGTTCAGTTGGGAAAATTTTACATTCGTACAGTTAGCTCACTTTTCCGTAGCTCATTACAGCGAAGGGCTAGAACAATGATAACAAGAAGTTCTCTTTTTTTCCATACAACTTTTAAAGGGCCAGTGTAATATGAGTTCGCATTCAAATGAGCTAAATTTTTAGGAGAATTATCAGGACCTGATTTGACATCGGTTGAGCTTGGTGGTGGAGCAAAATAGATATTTTGAACCACCCTAATGGTCATATTTTATAGTGGTTATCAGGAAAAATTGCAAAAGGACATTTTGTCGATCTAAAGAAAAAACCAATAGCTCTTATGTCTGTTAAAAAAATACGTAACGCAAAAGCGGGAGGGGGGAATAAAGACAAGTGTTACAGTTTGCTACACTTTGATGAGGAGGAGTGAGTGGGTGCTTGGTAGTGTTACGCGTACAAATGCAACTTTAAGAAATTTTGTAAACATGTGATGCGTAGGAAAAGGAAAACTCTGAAAATGCCGGGCTGATCCTGGTGGATGAGTGTGAAACATCATGATTGATGGATTTGTTATAAAGACAGAGTATGTGTATTCGAAGATTCAGTGCTTTCTGGATTGAAATGAGAACCAACCAGTGCTGCATAATCTCGACACGGCGATATTGATAAAGGATTTATTTGTCAATTTTCAGTGACAAACATGTGCAGTTTTTGTTATTAGGTTCGTAACGAAATTATATGAATGCATCACATAATTCGAGCAGTTTAAAATTACGTTTCCTAGCACTCGAACTTTGCCGTGGAACAATATTTTGAATTAATCTTTTAGAACCACTAGAAAATAGGGTCTTATTTATGCTAAGCTGGAAAAATCTGGAATTTGTTGTTCCATTTTCTTCAAATCGTTAGTAGAAGGTCGTCTCAAAACTACTCGAAAATGTGATTAATTGAGCAAAATAAATCCAAAGAGCCGTTAACGTGAACAAGCATCTACATCCTTAACTGGATTACAATAATAAGACACGGAATGCACGAAATTACACTTAACCAGGCGAATCTTTGTCATTGACGAAAAATGAGTAAATGAGTTTTTACGAAGGATTATGTGAGGATCAATTCATCCAGTGACGATCACAAACAAACAACATCCAGTGACGATGTCAACAATAATTTTGTAACAACAATAATGTCGCGAGAAATATTTCAATGATAAATCTACGCACTGGTACCAACATTTAAATGAAGAATGGATGGCATCTCATGCAGTGCTGTCATATTAGATTTAGTGCTGTTTACTATGTGTGCTCCGCCCACCTCAAATCCTTACGCTCCCTTCAAGGAACCACTAATTGTGTGTAATTAAATTAGGGCCCGGGTTAAACTTGTATACAATCAACTCATCTTAAATATTCACAATACGTACTGATTTTTCGTGTATTGGTTCATCAAGTTTTTTTTTTTACCGTCGATCTTGTTTTCGTACTGAGTACTAAGGCCGTTCGCAATGCTGAGTTTCAAAATTGTTTTAAACTACTCGTCAATTCTATAATTTGAAACTGTCAAAAATAAAACTGCAACACGATCAGCGCAACGCACAGTTCTAAAACATGTTTGTAATCATCAAGTTCCATAAACTTTACTGTTCTCTATGAAGTTCTCCGTTTTTTTTTGTGGAGCTCTTCGAAACATCTTCAACACATCCAAAGAAATTTGAAACAGAGTTCCATTCGTGTTTCAAACTCGCTCAGAAATAAAACAGAATAGTCGAGCAGTTGCAAATCTGGTGCAAAATAGTGCTCGAATAATGAAACTGCAACTCAGCATTGCGAGAGGTGCGTTTCTGTTCTAGTTTCAAATTGAAACAGTCCATATAAAATACAACAGCATTGCGAACGACCTAATGTTACTGTTCCATCCAAGTAATCACGATGTTCCATTCAAGTAATCGCAGCAACCCACAGCTGCGACCGAGATGGAAAAATTAGTGATTCAAAGTGTAGATGTCAACCCGAATAAACGTATAGTTAGAAGCACTCAAACTTTCTTTATTCTTTGAGAAGAACACTTCAGTTGGCGACGAGGATTTTTCTGGAGGCTCACAAGTTCAAGAAATTCCAGAATCGAACCGAGGAAGGATGGCGGCGACAAACGAAGAACTCCAAGCAGCAATTTTGCAGCTTCTCCAGCGGTTGGCCGTTTCACAAGCAACGAACCCAGAGCAAGTTTTGGAATCCTTGTCGACGAACATCAGCGAGTTCTGCTTCGATCCGGAGAACGGCACCACATTCGTTAAATGGTTTGCCCGTTACTCGGATTTGTTTGAAAGCAACGCACGAAGTCTGGACGACGCAGCAAAAGTTAGGCTTCTGCTCCGGAAGTTGGACACGTCCTCTCACAGTCGCTACGTCAACTACATCCTTCCGAAACTACCAAAGGACGTCACGTTTGCCGATACCGTCAAGACACTCACAAAGATCTTCGGCAGACAGACCTCCGTATTCCACAAACGCTACCAGTGCATGCAGCTACTCAAGTCCGAGACCGACGACATAATCACCTATGGCGGAAAAGTTAACAGGGCATGTGAAGAGTTCGAGTTCCAGAATTTGAAGATTGATCACTTCAAGTGCTTGATTTTCGTCTGTGTTCTCAAAGCACCACGCTACGCGAACATTCGAGCAAGGCTTCTATCCCGGATTGAAGGTGAAACGGCTGATGCTCCGGTGACAATTCAAACTCTGATCGATGAGTTTCAGCGGCTCGTCAACATCAAGTCGGACACTACGATGATCGAACATCCACCAAGTTCGAAGAATTCGGTCAATAGCATTTCGGAGAAGAAACCCGGAAACCAGCATCGTCCACTGAAAACGGAAAGCAAGTCCACTCCTCGTACTCCATGCTGGCAGTGTGGTCAGATGCTCTACGTCCGTGACTGTCCATTTTCTGATCATCTCTGCAAGGTATGTAACCGCATCGGTCATAAAGAAGGCTACTGTAGCTGCATCAAGAAGTCTTCAAGCGACTCTTCAACTCAACCTCGAGAGAAGAAGCAGTTCCAGAAGAAGGCAGGTTCCAGATCTCAAGCCAAGGGAATTTTCGTGAAGCACATCGCAAACAGCAACCGGAAACGCAAGTATGTGGCCCTTAACATCAATGGTGTTATGACTTCGCTACAACTGGATTCTGCAAGTGATATCACGGTGATTTCCAAGAAAACTTGGCAGCAACTGAGACGATCAAAGCTAACTCCATCTTCGATCGAAGCCTCCAACGCATCTGGTGGACCACTCGCTCTCATCGGAGAATTCCATTGTGAAGCAGTCCTCAATGACATGGTCAAGCGTGGTCAGTAGACTGATGCAAAATTTTACTTTTAAGCTCCACAGTGCTTAAATGGTTTCAAATCGGGAGGCTAATCACGCTCCAAAAGTTACAACTCATTTGGTTAGAAACAGACTTCGCACAAACCATTTGAAGTTTACATGTATATTACTATGGGAAATCTCAACTTTTTGTTCATTGCCCTCTAGTCTTTTTCCATATTGAGCTGCAAAACAGCTCGATAGCTATTCTTATAGAAAATTTCTCAGCTACAACTTTGCTGAAGTTCGTTTGTTTGTAAAATGAGACAGGAAATAGTTATTAATTATTTAAGAGATTGGTAAACTTATGACATGATCAAGCAGCTGCTCTGTAGGCAACACTGTATTTTGCAGTGTGACATAGTAACCATAATTTTTGTGTTCTATTCAACGCCCCAGAAACATCAATGTTGCCTGCTGAGCAGTTGATTGAGCATGATCATAAGACATCAGTGCATTGAACCATTAATAACTTTCGATCCTTGCATTTAATCAAAAAGTAGTCTTCAGCAAAGTTGTAGCTGGGAAAATTTCCTACTAGTAAAATTGAAAGCTCTTGAAGCAGACTGATATGGTGAATTATTAGATAGACATGAACAAAAATCTTGGTTTTACCATAGTAATTCCCATACAAACTTCAAATGGTTTGTGCCATCTCAGTTTCTCACCAAATGGGTTCAAATTTTGAGAGGTTAGTCAGGATCCGATTTGGAATCGTTTAAGTTTGTGGAGCGAAAATTTCAAATTTTGCATCACTCTAGTGGTCAGTGTTTCGTAACGTCATCACCAGATCTCAACGTAATGGGTATTGATTGGATCGACATGTTCAACCTGTGGTCGGTTCCGTTCGATACTCTCTGCTATCAAGTTTCTGCTGTATCTAGACCATGTTTCGCCGAAGCTAGAGCACAGCTGCAAGCCGAGCATCGGGCGGTTTTCGACGACTCGCTGGGCCACTGCAAGAAAACCAAGGTAAAGTTATTCCTCAAACCTAACGCCAAACCAGTTTTCTGTTCGAAGTGACCAGTTCCGTTCAACACGATTCCGCTGGTGGATGCAGAATTAACACGTCTTCAGTCTCTGGGAATCATCACGCCGATCGATTTCTCAGAGTGGGCCGCTCCGATTGTAGCAGTACGCAAGCCGAATGGTAAAGTTCGCATCTGTGCGGACTACTCCACGGGACTCAATGAAGCGCTTGAAGCAAACCACTATCCTCTACTTACCCGGAGGAGATCTTCGCACAGCTCAACGAAAGCACCATATTCAGCATCATCGACCTTTCCGATGCATACCTGCAAGTGGAAGTAGATGAAGAATCGAAGAAGCTCCTCACCATAAACACGCATCGAGGCCTCTTCCAATTCAACCGGCTCGCTCCAGGGGTGAAGTCAGCGCCTGGAACATTCCAAAGACTGGTTGAAAGCATGATAGCCGACATTCCTGGTGTTCGGTCGTTTCTCGACGACGCTATCATCTTCGGAAGAACCTGGGAGGAACACAAGGCGTCACTAGACAAGCTACTACACACTTAGATTTTTTTGCCGAGATGGGCACCACCGAGCCGCTCGGCATTTTATTTTGCTGGAAATTCAGCAAAAAATATGTTTGTTAGCTGAGATCTCGGCAAAATTCCCGTTTGTTAGCTGAATATCGGCAAGTTTTTCACTGAGATTCAGCAAAACAAAATGCCGAGCTGCTCGGTGGTGCCCATCTCGGCGAAAAAATCTAAGTGTGTACAACGTCTAGGGGAAAATGGGTTCCATGTCAAGCTGGAAAAGTGCCATTTCATCCAAATCGAAATTAGATATTTGGGGCATATTGTCGATCGAAACGGCATCCGTCCGGATCCAGAGAAGCTTCAAGCCATCACCTCTATTCCGGCACCCACCAATGTTTCCGAAGTGCGATCGTTCAATCATAGTAATTTCCATATAAACTTCGAATAGTTTGTGCCAAGTCAGTTTCTAACCAAATGAGTTTAAATTTTGGGAGGCTAATCAGGACCTGCACTGTGGAGCGAATATTTCAAATTTTGCATCAGTCTAATACACATACATACTACACCTTCCGTAAGGGTCAGATCGGCATTTTCATAGTTTTTCTTTTCCTACACTTCTTCAGTTTTTTGCCTCTTACGACGTTTCATAAAATTTCATAATTACGCTTCCTCAACAAAGGGTAACAAGTTGTCTCAACACTCACCTCTTCCAATATACTGTTGCGCAAGTAGCACATATTCATGGAAATATCTTTACAACCAAAACCAGTCATTCAAAGGGTATATAAACTGTCATACAACTTATGTGTTGCTTGGGTGCGTAGTTTGTAATACTCAACTTTGCGCACGGCACTTTTTCCCTGCACAGTTCAAACAAAACCTGTAAATTTCCGTTTAATTAAATGTAACAAATGGACACTTTCGCAGAGGGGCGTGCGTTGCTTCTTAGGCTCTGAACCATTTGGCGAATTTTTTTAACTTTTGGTTAAAATTTGACAGATGAAAAGTTATCGATTAACCCTGCTATCCGAGCATGGTTATTTCTGACAGACAAGAAGTTAAATTTTGACGACCATGGCTCGAAAACCGGTCGATCGACAGCACGGGGATTTTCGAACATAAGAAATAACTTTCGAAATGTCACTTTTAACCACGAGTTAAATTTAACTCGGCAAATGGTTCACAGCCTTAATGTCGCTGTCTCAGATGTTTTCGGAAAGGTTTATAAACACTTAAACACTGCTTCACTATTTTCGACCAAACATTTTATCTTTCGGTGTACCCGAATATGTTCCGAGAAGCTTGAAATGTTCTCACACAGCTGATTTAAAAAAAGAAAAATACACTGCATTTTCACTTTTCATATTTTTTTGACACTTACGCTCAACACGCATCAATGATAATGGCTGCCGCGATACTTTTCAGGTAACGCCGAGCACAGCACGGTGATGTATTTTTACGTTGAATGCATGTAAATTTATAGCGTGTATAACTGAAAACTTAATGTGTAGCGTAAAATTATGTGTCGTAAGAATGAAATTTAAATTGCAACTGTAAAATTAAACGATAATGGACAGATTTTTAAGATATTATTAATAATATTGTTATTTAAGTTTGTTTAAATGGAAAGTTGTATTAGATTAAGCATTACGTAACTATTTATTACGATACATTACAAATTACGTCGTCTTTAATTTTCAATTATTTTTACTGTGTGGGTGAACGGAAACTTAATATCGTTCCTTGTAGAGTTTGTTCACGACTTATGGTTATCTGCACAGTTCGAACAAGTAGTGTTAATTTCTGTTCAATATGATGCACATAAATGGAGCGTCACATATCATATACGTTTACATTATATATCATGTAAAGTTCTGACACATTTCATGCAATGTAGCAAATATTGTATACAAAAGCCCATCTTTGTAAACAACATTGTTTGCATGTTGTTCGGTTGCGTGAAATGAAATACAAGTCTACGTGAATGAATGTTTACATCACAATTTAAATTCAGGATTTTTATCTGTGTAGATACGAGTTTAAGCAAATAAAATGAAAAGTGATTTGATCTGTTTTGGAAGAAATCCAAGTACCATCTCGTTGAAGAGTTGCGAATCATTTCAGAAAGAATATTTGTTGGGCATGTTTTAAGTTTGAACGCGAAATTAAGCTGCAAGTTGTTGGGTGGTTTACAATGTAGATTTTCTCAGACACATTTTCATAGAATCGCTTGAAAGCCTGACGTTTTTCGACCTAAGTTACTAAATAAGGTAAAATTGCTACCATTTCTTCAGCGGCTTTTGATGAAACAACTGTCAATAAAAACATCTACACAACTTATTTCTGTCACAAACAAGTTGCTATAACTTTTCGTCACAAAAGTGTACTACTCGGAAAATGTTACTAGCACAGACAAACAGACGTAACTCTTCATTGTTCCACAGCGCTGTCATCGGATCGCTTTGACGTTTATGTACATTCTACATATACATTAGAGTGGGTCATCGTTATATGGAAAAACGTAAACTTTACCTCACCAATCGAGAACAACCCTTTTTTGGTTCCATTTGGAGTCCCAAACAACTGTGCAAAATTTGGGAACGATTGGTTGTAACTCGGTTTTCCGCATTGCGTTTGAAATTTGTATGGAAATTAGTATGGGAAAACCAACTTTTTTGCATTTTTATCGCTATAGACCACAACTTTGCATGAACTAAGTATGTACAAGTATAGTCCAGGAAGTGCCTAACAACTTTTCCAAATGAAGTACGGTGCTAGAATGTATCTAAAAAAAAGTTAAAATCCCTGTTTCTGTGGTGTACGGCGGTGTACCAGTGGGAGTCAGATTCCAAACTGAAATAATATTGGAGTTGCTTATCTTACCGATTTGGTATGTTCAGATGAATCATTCATTCAAAAATAATTGCTTTATCTCAAATGTGTAGTTGGAGAGGGGGGGGGGGGGGTTATACCCCATCCCCCTTACTCATACCAATAGTTTCAAAATGAAATAACTTCGGAGTTTCTTATCTTATCGATTTGGTATGTTCAGGATGAATTATTCAAAGGCATTTGCTCAATCTCATAAGCGTTGTTAGAGAGCGGGGGAGGGGGGGGAGTGCTTACCATATGCAGTTTTTAAAACGAAAATTGTGGTAGTGTAAATATTTAATATCCACTTGTCCGTCCATTTGTTAGTGAGGAGATGTTGTATGAATTATTAGCAGTTGGAAAATTTTAAATTTCTCTACAAAAGTTTTATTTGAAATATTAAACTGCCTTTCGGGTCACCTGCATATAGAAAACACAGAAGTAGTCGTACTTCAAGAACCAACAACTAGAGAAAACGAAAACTGTCTTCACCAGTTTCGTCCAAGACACAGGTACAGTCGGATTCCGCGTGTTGGGCTAACTTTAAGTGGGCTAAGTTTCAGTTGGGCTCCCAAGACAAACGTCACTTCTAACCAGGCTTGCTTCCTCTCACTTGCTATAAAAAAAAAATGATTTTCAGAATTTTGGCATCATTAGATGTTGTAATTATATTTTCTACTTGTTATAGTACGTTCAGACTACAGAGTTATAACATGTTATAGCGCTATCTTGATGGTGGTTTCTGTGTTGCAATTATTTGACAACCGTTATAACATGTTATAACTCTCCAGTCTGGACAGCGTTTTAGATACAGGAAGAGGTTGAAAGGCTAGTATTTGACACATAAAACCTGTCAAATTCGCTTTCAGATAGTCACAATCAGCGATTTTACGACTCGCGAGCGCTGAACGCTCACGAATCATAAATTCGCTGATTGTAACACTCGGAAAGCAAAATTGACAGGTTTCATGTGTCAAATACATACTTTTTAACCTCCCCTTTTAACTTACAAGTACAAAATATCATAATAGCATCTATCGATTTTATAATTCGGAAAAACATTTTTTCATAGCAAGTGAGTGGAAGCAACCCTGCTTCTAACAGTGCTGATTCCTTTTTGAAATTTCGACCGGCTTCATGCAAAAACCGGCGAACGAGTGGAGTAATGATACAGCTTATTTCAATGCGATACAACGAGTTGCTTTCTTGATGGTTGTCAACGATATGGCTGAATGAGGGGTGAAGCTAATTTCTGACTTATCAAGAAATCCACCCGAGACCTAGTTCAACAGCAATATTTGCTTCAAGGGATAAAAACAGCATCGAAAAGAGTACCCTGAGAAATCGTAGAATATATTAAAATGAAATATAATCATTACAATTCAATGAAATTTGTGTGAATATATCTCACATTGTATATTGCACCAAAAGAGTAGGGAAGAGAATGGGAGTACTCACTTTACAGAGCTTACAGCTCTGCTCTTATGAGATTGAGCAAATGTTTTTGAATAACCCATCCGAACAAATCGAGAGATGGGAACTCCGAAGTTATTTTAGTCTTTATCTTTACTTTCATTGATATAAGTGAGGGCCGGAAAGCATACAGTAAGCCCCCCATATCTATCTACGCCTATTAAATGGTGCACATGTTTTTGAATACATCTGAACATTCCAACTTGACAAGATCAGAAACACCGAAGTTACTAAAGCTTCAATACTTCCATTAATATGAGTGAGGGGGGCGACCCCCCCCCCCCCCGTCATCTCTTAATATGCCTATGAGATTGAAAAATTGTCCTATGTTTTGAGATACTATGTTATCAAGATAAACTTTTTCAAAGAGTTAAGTCTGTTTGTCTGTGGTTCTAGTTTTTACATTTAAGAATGTAGTGGGTTAGCGTTAGCGTTAGCGTTGTTATGATATACTTCGTAGATTGGATACTAGCGACACTCACGTCTCTTCTGAAATTCTCAGTAAGACTACTTTCAGGAATAATGCTGGGGAGTAAACATTGGTTCCAATCAAAACAAGAGTAACAGAAGCATGACTGTCGCTATTCCCGGCCACGCCCATCTTTACCATAACTAGGGATAGGGAAGGAAATGTTGATGTAGTACTTACTTAACGAGAGGCCACCGACTTAGCGACACCCTCATAAGTGCTACGGAGTTGGAGGGTTGGGTAGGGTATTCGGTTAGGATTCACCTCAAGTTGGCGATGCAACCAAAAGTATGTATTGTTTATTTGTTGTTTATTTAATCTATCGATAGCCGGCTATCGAAAGAACATATTCATTTTGTTTAGTGATCATGAATTTTAAGAGTCATGACGGAGAGCTTGGGATTAAACCCATGATTTTCTGCTCAGTAAGCAAAAACGATCCCTCCAGGGTCATCGAGCATCTCAGAACCATAACGCTTCGCGACAATACAGGACTACGTTTTCGCTTGATATGCAAATAGTTTCCAAGATTAATGTTCAATATCAAATATACAAATGATGGTGGCGATTTATTGTGCTGTGGAAGAGCTTGACATTAAATCCATGATTTTTTGCTCAGTAAGCAAAATCGATCCCTCCAGGGTCATCAAGCATCTCATAATCCACAGCGCTTCGCGTCAAAGTCCGAATATATGGATGAACTATCTATTATTGAATAACTATTATTTACGATAATTACATGAAAGAAATAAAATATAAACTACAAACAAAACGTGACTACTAAAATCTCAAAAAGATATTCTCACAAATATATTTCATGCAACCAGGAATCTCAAAACCATTAGACCCTATAATGATACTCTGCACATGTTAGACACAAGAATAGGCCAAAAAGCAAACGTCCGACTCACCTGTCAAATCCACTTGCAGTCACAATCAACGGTTCTACGAATCGCGAGCGCTCACGAATCATAAAACCGCTGACTGCGACATTCTGAAAGCGAAATTGGCAGGCTCTATGCGTCAAACTCCCGCCCTCCAATCTCCTCCTGCATCCAACAACACAAATCTCCACTACAACACCTAACGAATAAAACTCCGAAAATCACTTTTTCTGCCTATCTTTCTATTAGGCCTGCGGACATGCGTTAGCTTCGAAACTTCTAACCAAACTAGGAAAATTTTCAGATCACAAAAAAAAACTTTTAAACGTAATTACAAAATAAATATTGATTATTTTACACAAAAACGAGCACTTTTGTATCGTATGCTAAAAATAAAGTATTAATATAATTAAATGCAAAATTTACTAGAAAATCATTACTTTATTGGTGAGAAGTTTCTAATAAGCCCTCCCAGTTCCTCCGTATACAGAACAAATCTGATACTATAATCAGAATTGCTCAGTCTGCATGAAGCAGCTCATTTCATCAAGGAAGTTCTATTAACAACCAAGAATTAATCGTTTGAGGCATACTGAAGCATTAAGAAGGTGATATGTGTCACTATAGGAAATCATCATCGTTGCAAATATAAAGAAATTAAACATAACCCTTTGCTTCAGTATCGTCAACCTCCATGTCCATGGGGAGGGACTGTAACCGACGATCTTTCAAATCCGAAAACTAAAAACTACGAAAAAGTACTTAGGCCTTCATTAAGTTCCACTTTCACGCGACGTTCAATGACAGGGTCCTATCCAGGATTACATCTGAAAAATCCAAATCTGGCCAACGCCCACCCTAAACCTAAACCTGTTCTAATCCACCTGAAATGACTAACGAATGGAAGACTTTGACTACCCAGCCATGCAATAGTCTCATTCCGTGCCTTAAAGCAACTTGATGATTCTATTGCGCTCATCTTTTGGCACCAACCAGGGGAGACTTGGTCCTGTACCCAATGCTTAACTTATCTCCATTCCACTCAGCTACTCGCAATTTCTTGTGATATAGTGGGCGGAATATTATTATATGAGACAATTCAATGCAGACGTCTTTCCAAATTTGGCAGATCGACAGGTAATCGGTGAGTTACCACGATAGTTGCTATTCAACAACTCGACAACGTCCCATCGTCAACGCCTGCTATGAGAATTTCCCATTGCAGACGCCAACGAAATGACGTCATCGAGCTATCGATCAACTACCCTGGTTATCGCCTGGTACCTTATAGCACGGTGCTAGGAGGCGAACCGGAAGAATCGATGAGCTACCTCTCCCCCCATTTAAGAATGTAGTGGGTAGGGTACAAAAAGTGGGTACTTACCCCCCTACATTTTGATATATTCAAAATGAAATCAAAATTTGCCCTCACACATACATAAAATGCCAGCGCCGGTGGCGTAGTGGAAAGCGTGACTGCTTCCTCACCCCAATGGGTCTAGGTTCAATTCCAGCCGAGCTCATTCTGAGGCATAAACATCTCTGGTCACGTCTTCCTTCGGAAGGGAAGTAAATCCGTTGGTCCCGGCCCATGTGTCGTTGAATGGGTGCGATATCCTACGCTGGTGTGGAAGCTGCCATCCTGCACATTCGATTGCCGTCAATGCATGGCAATCGATGTCCGTCGGTGAGTGGCACCCGCCTAGATAGAACAAATTCCTAAATGGATTGAAACTTGTTTCATGAATATCCGTTGAGAACTGGCGATATGATAGCCATTTTAACTTTTTAGGTCGCAAAACGTCAGGTACGTGGTATCTGGACCACCCCTTATTTGTGCACACTGTTTAATCACATTCATGAATCAAATAACAATGCTCATTACAGATTGTCCATAATCGGTCCAAAGAAAATTCGGCCGAACAGTAACTACACGATAGTATTAAGCAACACTCTCAACCGGAATGTACGGCTGCAAGCAGTTCTCGAGAAAGTCGGAGAACCCAAAGAATTACGCTCAAACAAACCCTTGACACTCAGCAGACGAACTGTTAAACAAGTCGAATTTAATGTAAGATTCTGTCCGACTTTCATCAGGTCCGGTTAACTGATTTAATATCGTTACTTCTCTCTTCTTACGTTTTACAGGTTGGAAGCATCTCGAAAGGTGACTACGAGGTGATCATTAAGAGCATGGAGAATAGCTTTAGTTTCGAGCAGCGTGTGGAACTTGAATATGAGCCTAAAACGATGTCCGTTTTTCTTCAAACTGACAAACCGGTGTACAACCCGGGAGATATGTTGAAATTTCGGGTCGTGGTAGTTGACGCCGACACTAGGCCTGTGACGAGTATTAAAACAGTTGCTATATCATTGGATGATTTCGAAGGAATTTCCATTAGAAAGTGGCCTTTTGCTAGATTGTACAATGGCGTGTTTGAATCAGCTGTACAGTTATCCTCCTCACCGCCGTTGGGAAAATGGAAGTTGACAGTGAAGGCTACGAATGATGTAAGTATGCCCTGATTTGGAAAGCGTTACGATTCGAAGCTGTATCGTTCCTTCTTTTATTACAGACCAGTGTTACCAATATTATAAACGTGAAGGAATATGTGTTGCCAAAATTCTTCGTGAAAGCCTACCCTTCCAGAGTTCTGCTAGCAGCCGAGCAAAAGGTGTCTATCACGGTGGAAACGGCTTACACATTTGGTAAACCGGTTGATGGAAGTGTCAGTCTAGAACTCTTTTTGGACGATACTATACGCAAACCGGACTTTACCAGAGTTGCCAGCATAACGGGGCAAACCACCCTAGATTTCGATCTTGCTAGTGAAGTAGATGTTGATGGTGAGGAGTATTTCAAATACATTACCGCGAAAGTTTCAGTTATGGAAACATTTACTAGTGAGTATTTTACCATTCAATGCAAAGCTCAATTGATCATTGTTGGAATTATTTTCAGATCGCTCAATAAATATTACGGAGAAAATTCCTATCTATCGATTGCCATATACCGTAACCACTCTGCTGTCATCACCGGCGTTCCGTCCTGGGGTCCCATATCCAGTGTCGTTGGTTGTGAAAGACCACCTTGGTAAACCTCCAAGCATGGATAAACCATCGACGATTGAGGTGAAAGCAGAGTTTGAGTTACCTGTCGACAGTGAGTTTCAAAATTTGGATGTCGAGCTTGAAGAGGGGGTAGCTAACTTCGTTCTAGAAGCACCTTCGAATGCTCAGCTACTGAAAATAACCGTAAGTAATAATTACTGAACGAGGTTTTATTTAAAATTAAGAGCATCGCACTCAAGGGTCACCCACATTAGATCCGTTTGCGTTGCGTTGACGTAAATTTGACAGTTAGACAATAGATTTAGCTGTCACTTTGCCGCAACGCGTCCGATCCTGATCTAATGTGCGTGGCCTTCACTGCCTTATACTTTGGCAGTTGAGCAGATCCACGCCAAATGACGAAACGATCTAACGTGACCTTCTCCGATTTGCGCGAAACTTTGCATATGGTCAATAATTCATACATAAAAAAGGTATATTAGTTAAAGTAAAGAGATAAAATTCAATCAAAAGTACTTGCATTTTAATGTTGTAATGAAAATATTGAACATAATTTTGCCGTACTTAATGTAATTAAAATACGCAACATGTAATTAACGGAACTGAAAATGTCGTTTTTGTCAAAACTGAGTTTTTCAATGCAAATGGTAGCTAATTACCCATATTTTCATAATACTGGATGAACTCATCAACTTTTGTTCTGAAAAAGTTGGGAAAGACAGTTAAGGCAATGCATACGTTTTCGGGTTTTTTGACTGTTAGCCCTTGCATTAACTGTCAAAAAACCTGAAAACGTATCTATTGTGCGCCGGCCTTCACATTGGTTGTCCCATCACACAAGAAGCAATGGTACGAAGCAAACTTAAAAGGCGATTTACTCGGCTTGCCGATTTTCGCTATGGGACGGACATTCATACCACAGACAAACAGACATAACACATTGAGTATTTCTCACTGTAAAACATCGTCGCTAAAACATTACCGTCATCTGTTGAGTACACTGTGGTGGGTAGTACGCTGAAAAGATGGCGGTAGTGTGAAAACGTCAAACGCAAGGGAATTGACTATGTGCGCCACAGGTGGCGGTACTACCAACTACGATACTTTTAAATTGACCGATAAATGCTTGTTCGATGAACATCTTGCGAGTGTTACACTGATAGGCAAAATAAAGTGCCCACCCCATCATTTTTTGAATTTCTCTCATTTATTTGGTTCAAATTAAAGTAAATACACTGTAGTATTTTTTATATCTTATTCTTTATATTCTTTTTAAGTTTCACTTATAGAATACCAGATAAAAAGAAGAGACTGACTCGAAGAAAAAAAAATCAAAATGGGTGTAAAAAAGAACAGTGACAAAAAAAAGTGCCCACTGCATTTTAACTCCAGAAAACATAAAATAAAGTAAAAGAATACCAGCCTAATAGTTAATGTGTCCTCCTTTGGCCTTCAGGACCAGCTGCAGGCGCTTCGGCATGCTCTCCACTAGATTCTTCAGGTGCTGTGGATCTAGTTCTTCCCAGGCGCGCTCCAGGGCTTCAAAATAGTTATTTTTATTGGTAACACCAGTTTTGTCAACCCTGGCATCGAGAATCGCCCACAAATTCTCGATGGGGTTGAGGTCCGGGCTTTGTGGAGGCCATTCCAGTGGTTTAATTCGACATGACCGGAAGAAAGACTTAGTCTTCTTGGCAGTATGCTTCGGATCGTTGTCCTGCTGGAATACGAATTTCTCCTCAAGGCCCGTCTGGATCAGCGAAACTTCCAGATTTTCCCGCAGGATGTCGATGTAGGAATCTGCCGTCATTATCCCGTCGATTTTCACCAGGCTTCCCACTCCACCCCACGAAAAGCACCCCCAGACCATCACATTTCCTCCTCCATGCTTCACCGTGCCTTGTATGTGGCGCTCCTGAAGCTCCTCACCCGATCTACACCACACACGAACCCGTCGCTTCCGGTTGAACAGTTCGAATTTTGATTCGTCCGTCCAGAGAACCGTTTTCCAGAACTCTAGGGGCTTATCAGCATGCTCCTTAGCAAACTTAAGCCGTTTGACTTTGTTTGCCTTGCTGATAAATGGGCGCTTCCGAGCAACTTTGCTGTTCAACCCCTGTGCTACGAGACGGCGACGAACAGTTCGACTGGAAACTGTTAGCTGAAGAGCCTCCTGGATCTCGCGGACAGTTACCTTCGGGTTCTTCTTCACTTCACGCATGATCTTGGTGTCCGTTCTCGCATCCGTTTTGCGCATCCTGCCTCTGCCAGGGCGATCCACCACTGATCCGAACGATTTCATTTTCTGCAGAATTTTCCCGACCGCTGTTTTGCTGATATTGTACTTCCTAGCGACAGACCGGTGCGATTCACCGTTTTGCACATCACGAACAACCAATTTTCGGATACACACGGGAATTGCTTTCGAAATCACTACGTCCTCCATTTTTTTCAACTGATTCAAATGCGATCACGTGTACAAATGCACCAGTTCCACCCGTTTGCTTCAATACATGTCAAACTTTCAAAACAAAAACAATCGAGGGGTTTTCCGATGGAAACTTATCGAAAACATACCGATTTTTGAAGTGGGCACTTTTTTTTGTCACTGTTTTCTTTTTCAATCCAAATTGATTTTCTTTTACTTCAAGTAAAACTTTATATTTTCAGTATTCCATAGGTGTAACTTTAAAAGAATAATAAAGGTAAGACATCGAAACAGACTACGGTGTGTTTATTTGAATTTGAACCAAATAAATGAGAGAAATTTCAAAAATGATGGGGTGGGCACTTTATTTTGCCTATCAGTGTATGTCTGTTTGTCTGTGTTCATACTATTCCTTGGGGGCGGCTTCAGTTTAGTTTCCTCTTTCAACCGTGCCCTCAACTCCCTTGCTTCTGCAAATTGTTTTAATTGCAGCAGTGCCCACCGCTTGGCCTCCTCTTCGTCCTTTATCCGCTTCTTCTCGGTATAATCCACTAGCCCGAATTCGTAATAGTAATACGCATCTTTTTGGAACATGAAAACAGGTGGCTGCTGTTTCTCAGCAGCGCTTGCTTCCTTTCCACTGTTCTTATGGGCGTCCGGGGACGTTACATCTATCACCACCAATTCTACTTCCAGGGCCTCAACCGCTTCCTCGTTTAGCGATGCAGGTCCACGTACTTGCTGGTCTTTTCCTCATTCATTTCTTGGTTGACTTCTTCCGTTAGTTGTTATACTGACAGGAATTAAATCATCATCCTCTCTCTTCCTTTTCTGAGCTCTATTTTCGGTGACCATGCTCTCATTAATTTCATGCGTTGCAATGTCGTCGTTGACTGCCTGCACAGGCGGTTGAATAAAGCTCTCTCCATGAAAAACATCTGATGCTGTAACTACAGGATTACTATTTTGATACTCATCATTTGATTTCGTTAAGTTATTTTCAAAATTACTCCTTGGATGGATCAAATCTAATAAAAATTTTAGTTTGTAGGAGAGAAGCCTCTCCGATGGAAATTTATCGTCAGTTCCAAAACAGATATTTCTGTAGTTGATGAGAAAATATGCAATTTGTTCCTCAGTGTCTAATCTCCTCGATTCAGGATCCCTTAAAAACTTTTTGAAAACATCTTTGACCCGGCGCACCATCCGTTCTGCCTGCCCATTACTTTCAGGGTGGTATGGTGGACTTTTCATAACATTTATACCTTGTTTTTACTGGATCATATGGGCATCTGAGGGTAACACGTATTCAGGACTACTATTCCTGGTGTGATGACTGTGACTAATTTGTTTGGACTTCCCCAAAAACAAAAATTCATTCGAAGTCTCTCAAAACCCGTGTGGACTTTCTGTAGCGGTTCATCCCGCAAAAGGCATAAGGACACGGAGAGTCCTGTCAATTATACAATCTCTTTGGGGACCATTTCGCTGCAAAATCGAAGAAAAAATAAAATAGGAACTGACAATCAAATTTCCTTTTCCCCCTTTCTTTGAAGTAAGCAAATTAGTAAACCTTAAGTAAAATGTCAATGTAAAACAGTGATGCCGTTTTAATTATATGTTGTGTAATACTTGTCATCATGTGCCATGACGTGGCTATCAGTGTGCCATGATATGTTTCGGCACAGTGTGCAGAGTTGATGACCCTTGCGAAAAGTAGAACTGTTCGGTACTGGGTACAGAAAAGTAGTATTTTTCGTTAGTAGAAATACCCAACTAACATTGTCAGTTTTATAAGCAAACTTTCCCAGCGTTGTGCTGTAAAGTAGCTGAAGCAAAGCTGCAGAAGCAGCTACAAGCAGAAGCTAGCAAAATAGTTTTGGAGAGCATTTACTCAACTTTTTCACATCCATTATTCAATTTGTAAGTCGCACTTAATAATATCAGCCAATAAACGTTAATGACGCTTCTATGCGACTATTAATCAACTTTCAACTTTTAGCTGCAGAACAAAGCTAATAAAGCAAATATATTACTTATTAGGTGGCTTCTGCTAAACCAACCACTCTTGCTGAATAACATAAACATCAAAAGTGCCTTTTCAACAACTAAACAACCTGCACCAGCATTACTTTCGAAGCTAATTTACAGTCAACTAGGTTTATTTTTAGACTTGTGCAGTTTTACAGCTTTTACTCTGGATTAACCATTCGAGAAAAGTGATTCATGTGCACTATTTTAAAGCCACTACTCAGCGATCTTGGTGTAGAAGGGCATCTATTTCAGTCAGTTCAAAGTGTTGGCGTAGTGAAGCTGGTACACAGCAAAAAAAAAAAATGTAATATCGATCAACGTAATTCAAGCTGATGTATGAAATAATGATGTAATAGCAAAAGGCAGATACAATATTACATCAATGGATGTAATTTTGTTCCCAAAATCGTTGTACATCGTACAATGTGATATTACACAACCGATGGATTGACCTGATTGCAGCAGTTTTGATGTAATATTCAACAACTTTTTTTTGCTGTGTAGTATCAAAGTTTGCCAATGCGGTCATCTCGAGTTCAATTCCTGGTTCCGGTACAGTGTAAATGATTTGGTGGTGTGTTTATAACTAATTTCGATTAATTTGATTCTCAGTAAAATAAACTTGATAAATTCCTCCAACACAAAAATAAAAAAAAATCGTAAACAATATTTAACCTGGCGTCAAGAGGAAACTGTGTAGTGATTATTGGATAATCGAGTAAAGCTTGGGTAAGCGCCTTTCAAGTGCACACACAACTAAACAGCTGGATAAAAGCTGTATAGAAGTGTAAATAGATAAGCAATAAAAGCTTTTCCCAACCGTCACAACAGCCATAAGTAGCTGACTAAGTTCGCCAGATTTGCTTGTATAGAGGTTGAGAAAAGGTTTCCTCATATCGTATAACATTTGAATACAGCTTGAGGCTGTATACATGAAATGAGTGAAGCGTTTACATTGCGAAAGTTGTTAGTTGGGTAGGCCATTATGTTATTCAAAACAGTGTCGAAAAGTGCCCGAACAGCAAAAAATTGTTGAATGCAACTCGTTGCAAAACTCTGCATTGTAATTATCCAAGTCGGCAAGCCTCGTTGGATAAACTACGACTAATTTTGTGTGACTGCTTTGGGCTCGTTCTCCTCTTTACATCACCAGTGAACACTTGAACAGTGTTTAACGAAAATGATCTTGCTAACCTACCATCCCCTATAATGAAACCTGTTACTGTGTTCTTACAGGCTATATATGACTCCGAAGAGTACGATACACACATTGACTTTATACATAGCTACCAGTCCCAGAGCCAGCAGTACCTTAAAGTCAATATCAACCCAAAGTACAAGTAAGTGGCGATAGTATTTGCACAGACAAACAGACTTAACGCATTGAATATTTCTCACTTTAAAACATCGTCGCTAAAACATTACCGCCATATGTTGAGTACATTGTGGTGGGCAGTACGTTGAAGAGATGGCAGTAGTGTGTAAACGTCAAACGCAAGGGAATTGACTATACGCGTCACAGGTGGCGGTACTACCAACTACGTTATTTTTAAATTGACCGTTAAATGCTTGTTCGATGAACAACTTGTGAGTGTTATGTCTGTTTGTCTGTGGTAGTTCGTTAGTTTGCTGTTTAAAATATTCCAAATGCCTCATGTTTTACTCTTCTACTTAGGGTTGCAGTGAATAAAATTGTTGAATTTGATATTTCTTGCACGGAAACAATGAACCACCTCTCGTACATGGTAGAATCACGAGGAAACGTTGTTTCGTCATCGCATGTGCCAAATATTAATAAAAGGAGCTACAAATTGAGAATCAAAATGCTGCCGGTGATGTCGCCGGAGGCCACGCTCATTGTGTTCTACACCAACAAGGAGTATGTGATATTTGATGACTGCGAACTGAAATTTGAAGCGTTCAACAACGATGTAAGTTTTCGATAAAAATGGGCTTAAAGTTCCGAATTTACGGTTCAGCTGTTTTTCATTGCAGTTTAGATTTACGCTGGACGAGGAGGAATACACTCCTGGAAAAGACATATACATCGGAGTATACGCTGCCAAGGATTCGTACGTTGCGTTCAGTTCGATTGACCAGAGTGTGCTGCTGGTTGACAATAATCGCTATGATTTCAACAGAGACGATGTGCTGAGGGAACTTGCCCTATACGGGGCTACAGATGATTCCGAGTTTGATTGGTTCCATGTTTGTACTGACGATTGCAAGCATTATGCGTATGTGTTTAATAATGTTTTATTTCTTTACAGAAAAGGGGTCTATTTTTGAGATCTACTGCCACAGTCGACGCACGTAAGTATGCTTATGGATTCATTAAAAGCTGAAACTTTTAGTTGAGCTACTTATTGATTAAATCATCTCATTTTAAACAGCTGTGGCCCGTGGCAATATGATTCGTTTTGGTGGTATCGGATCAAGCAACAAACAAATCCGGAATCCGATCCACATTCGCACTATGTTCCAAGAATCCTGGTTGTGGATAAACGTTTCCATGAACGGAAGACACGCTGAAAAAGAACTAAAAGAATATGCTCCGGATTCAATTACTACCTACCAAGTTTCAGGATTTGCACTGAGCCCTACCTTAGGCCTCGGAGTAATCAAGAAACCAATAGAATTCATGGTGAGACAACCGTTCTATCTGGTCGCAAATCTGCCATATTCGATCAAGCGCGGTGAGGTGGCTTTGATTCAGGTAACCGTCTTCAACTTCCTCGGAAATACTGTAACGACTGATGTGACGCTGTTCAACAAGAATGACGAGATCGAGTTCGTTGAACAGTCTTCAAAAGACCGTATGTATTATCATAGATGTTCTTCATCAGAAGCATATTCCCTTTATAAAGTATGATATATTTTTTTTTCTGTAGCTGACCGTCGATCGAAGGCCGTAATCGTTCCGACCAACAATGGAAAACCCGTATCGTTTATGGTCAGAGCCAAACAGCTAGGACAAATCGCAATCAAGTTCGAGGCAACAAGCTTGCTTGCTTCGGATGCCATTGAACATATGTTACGTGTTACTCCAGAAAGTCGCCTATATGAAGTAAACGATCCCCGGTTTATCGAAAATACGAATTTTGCGAAGAAATCCTTTGATTTCCTTTTGAATATACCTCGAGAGATTGATGAAGGTTCAGCTAGAATCAAGTTTTCGTTGGATCGTAAGTTTATACATTTGATTTGTTGAGTTGTCTCTGCTGAAAATATGGCCTTCAATTCTAGCCGACATTCTGGGGACAGCTATTGCAAATTTGGACGAATTGATCCGATTGCCAACCGGATGCGGTGAGCAGAATATGTTGCACTTTGTGCCGAACATCGTCGTGCTGGACTATCTATCTGAAACTAGGACTGCGGCAGAAGCTGTTAAAACCAAAGCGATCAACTACCTCAGCAGTGGTTATCAGAATCAACTCAAATACAAACGTTCGGATGGTGCGTTTAGCGTCTGGGGTCAATCACATGCAGGTAGTACATTTTTAACGGCATTTGTGGCCAAATCACTCAAGATAGCCGCTAAGTATATCAACGTAGACAATAGTGTCGTGAATAGCGCATTTGCGTGGCTAGCGAGTAAACAGAGTCCCGATGGACGGTTCCCGGAAGTGGGGACCGTATTTCATGCCGATATGCAAGGAGGATTGTGGAAAACAACAACAAGCTACGCTCTCACATCGTATGTATTGATTGCATTTGGAGAAAATCAAGAAGTGTACGCAAGGTATCGAGCAGTTGCTCAAAAAACAGCGCAGTACTTAATGGACAACCTTGCCAATATGGTCGATGTGTATGATCTGTCACTGGCAACATACGCTATGTCCCTAATCAAGCACCCGAACCGGCAAGAATTTCTCGATAAACTTATAGAGAATTCAATTTTCGATAAGAATACTACCGAAAGATATTGGAACAGGATACCTGTTAATGTCGAAGTCGCTGGGTACGCTTTATTATCTTACATTGAAAATGACATGTTCCTCGATGCCACTCCGATAATGCGTTGGCTTAACAAGCAGCGATATGGTCGTGGTGGCTTCCCTGGGACGCAAGATACATTTGTCGGACTCAAAGCGTTAGGAAAATTTGCGGCGAAAATGTCAGGCAGTAGGAACGATTATCGAGTGACGTTATACGACAATAGGAGAAAAATTCTCAAAAAATTCGACATCGATAATCGAATGGCCATGACCATCCAAGAGGTGGACATTGCGAGTGATATCCGAAAATTGCACGTGGAAGTGGATGGTATTGGAAACGGTGTTTTCCAAATAGCGTATCAATATTATCTAAACATTCAGGTGGCAAAGCCCAGCTTTGAACTGGCAGTAGAGATGCTCAACACAACTACGTACAACGTGCAGCATTTGAACATCTGTGTGAAATACAAACCGAAGGAGGCTCATCAGCTATCAAATATGGCTCTGGTGGAGATATTTTTACCCAGTGGGCTCATAGTCGAAGCGGATGCTGTAAAGGACACAACCGGAGGAATCAAGGTAGGAACATTGCGTCTAGTGTTTGCATTCCCGCGAACGATTTCCCGATTCCCGGGAACATAATTTACGTTTCCCGGGATTCCCGAATTTTCCGGGAAATTTAATATTCATTCAATTCAAAGATTATAACGGATTTAGCTAAAGGGTGTCCCACATCAAATTGCATCACGGAAAAAAACGCTGTAGAAAATTACCCATTGGGAATTTTCTCTTGAAAATTTGGGTAGAAATAGTTTAGAATGTATTATCTACACTGTATTTTAATCGCTGTCAGTTTTTCGAAAGTTGATAAAAATGGCGTCACCCGAAAAGCAACGTCGCGAATTGATTTTGCGCAAGCACCTGGAAAATCCTCAACTCTCTCATCGGGACATCGGAAAACAACACGGAATCGTGCAGTCAACGGTGAGTCGTGTGATTAAACGTTACTACGAAACTCTGAGCATCGAGCGGAAGGAGAAATGCGGTCAGAATGGATGTTCTATTAGTGATCAGGATCATAAGCGTATCGTGAAAGCGTTTAAGCGGATCCCAGTGCATCGGTCAGGGATGTGCACACTTAGAAATAGGGTAGGGAACTACTTCGGCCTAATCGCCCATCTTGGGCCTATCGAGCAGAAAACTTCAAATAAATCCATGATTTCAGAATTAACAAGTCAATTATGCGTTTGGTACGATAGTTTAGTTAATAAGCTACGGAACGAAGTCAATGAGAACGCAGGATATGAAGGTTTGCACCCATTATTCTCAAACACAAAAGAAGCGCTCCGACCGAATCAATTTTTATCTTCATCCGATAGGACGAAGTGAATTCATTGGCGTTTCAATGGCGTTTCAATGCGTTAGGCCGAGTTTAGAATCCGTAGGCCGAGTTTGGCGTCAAGAAGCAGTGTTAGACTTTTGACAATATCTCAACGATTGGTTTCTCTTTATCAAACCCTACGGTACATACGGAAAGGTAAATAAATTTGGAAGCCATCAGTAATAATAACATTCCGTTTAGTGCTAAAATGCGCTAGATTAAGAAATACTAAGTGCGGGTTGTGCTTAATAGGCCGGAAATGGGGTAGTTAACCCTACCTAATTTTACGCGTGACGGAATCCATCTTTGACATAAAGGATGAGACGTAAACAAACATGTCGTGTAAAATTAAGTGCTCCAAGACTGAAAAGTTCGTTACTCGAAGAAAAGTACGTTTGATTGAACTGAATTTCACGTCTATTATGACATAATGTTATGTCAAAATTGACGCTCGTATATGTCAGTCGCAGAACACCTAAGTTTACATGATTTTTTCTAAGTGTGTGGCCATAAAGTTGAATCTGTCCAAGTCTTTCGTTCAGAGAGCCAAGGACCGGGAGGGACTGCATACGTACAAAGTGTAGAATGTTTCAAATCGTGACGAACGGCAAAATACGGTGGGAAAGTCACGATATCCGGAAGAAAGCATCAACGAGAAACCAGCTTGGCCGCAAGAAAGTGCCAGAAATTAATGACCAGAACTTCCAACTAATATCACGACGACCGATTAAAGTGCTGCCACTGCTGCCACTCAATCAACGATTGGCTGCAGCTCGTGCCACTGCTACTGCTGCGGTGGCCACCACAGCTCAAGTTCAAACTGCCAGAGTCCCTGCAAACTCAGCTCAAGAGACGACTGCTGCTCCACAGCCGCAGGATCTCCCCACAGCCCCTGGGCTAATCTGGCGTCAGCATAGACCGCCCCTACCGCAGTCAGAAATCAACGATGGTTCGTGGTTCACCGCAGCGGAACTAATGATCATCTTCCTCAAGATGCACGACATTGCCAACACCATCAAGAACAAATCCGACAAGCTCCAAGATGTGGCTACCTTCATGCTCAGTTATTAACCGTGAACTCATCAAAATCGCAAACTGGGACGCTTGCTCGCTCAAGAGCAAAATTATCGAGTTCGGTAACTTCCTCATCGACATCGCCATCATCACCGAAATTCACCTGAAACCGGAGATGAACGTTTTTCTTCCTGGATTCCGGCTCGTGAGGTTGGACCGGTGTGGTGGAGTGGCCATCGCTACAAGGAACAACATCTGCTGCCGGCTGCTACCCAGTTTTCAGCTGAAAATGATTGAAGCATTGGGAGTGGAAGTCTCCACACCTGTCGGCCCCGTCACCATCATTGCAGCCTATTGCCCGAAACAAGCCATCGCCAGGGATGAATCCGTGGCAGACCTGCGGAGGGATATTATCAAGATAACACGATGCCGCGGAAAGTTCATCATCGCTGGCGACCTGAATGCCAAACATCAAGCTTGGGGCAACCATAGGCAGAATCAGAACGGCACCATTCTAAATGACGACCTGCAAGTGGCCCAGTACACCATCCTGGCGCCGGACGCTCCCACCCGGCTGAGCTGGTTCGGCGTACGCTCCATCATCGATATCTTTGTCAGCAACATGGAAAACATCTCCCAACCGGTAGCCCACCAAAACTTAAGCTCGGACCACTTTCCGGTGGTGGCCGAGGTGGGCTCCTCCGTTAATCGATTCCATGCTTCTCGTCGTAATTACCATCGGGTAAGCTGGGATCGGTTACAACAAGTCGTCGACGAAGCCATCGATTTCGGCGCCCTACTGGAGACGACTGATGACATCGATAGATCTCTGTGCGCCGTCGAGGAGGCGGTATCCCGAGCCCGCGAACAACACGTGCCAACTTCCAGACGGGCGAGTAATTCTCTGAACCTTGATCAGAATACTAAAAGCCTAATCAGACTCCGTAGCGTCATGCGTAGGCAGTACCAGAGAACTGGACTGCCTACCTTGAAGACGCATTCCAACCGTCTAACCAAACTTATCAAAGCCAAAATGGTGGACCTCAGAAATGAGAATTTTTCCAATAACATCCGTTCCCTCCCAGATTGCGCAATACCGTTTTGGAAACTAACAAAGGTCCTCAAAACTAAACCGAGAGCTATTCCACCGCTGGTTCCACTGAGTTGTCCCGACGGTTCAGTGGTTCACCTGATAACACCTGAAGAGATTTCGTCAGCTCCCACAATCTCGGACAAAACATCACCAGCCCTCACGAAGCTAAGGTAGCTGAAAATGTAACTAATCTCCACCAGATTCCTAACGTCTTTCCCGAGGAATCCGAGATCACAGCTGACGAACTGTTGGCTTATATAAAAACTTCCAAAAACATGAAGGCCCCAGGTTTCGACAACATCCTGAATCTGGAGCTCAAGCACTTGAGTTCCAGATTCTACAACCATCTGGCACTGATTTTCAATCAGTGCCTACGACTTGGCTACTGCAAAATCATACAAAATTATCTATCGGACAGGACTTTCCAGGTCTCTCTGAATGGCATCACTTTGGATGCCTTTGACATCGGTGCAGGTGTGCCCCAATAGAGTGATGCAAATTTTGAAATTTTCGCTCCACAATACTTAAACGATTCCAAATCGGATCCTGAGTAACCTCTCAAAATTTGAACCCATTTGGTGAGAAACTGAGATGGCACAAACCATTTGAGGTTTGTGTGGGAATTACTATGGTAAAACCAAGATTTTTGTTCATTTCAATCTAATAATTCACCATATCGGTCTGCTTCAAAAACTTTCAACTGTACTTGTAGAAAATTTTCCCAGCTACAACTTTTCTGAAGACCACTTTTTGATTAAATGCAAGGATCGAAAGTTATCAATGGTTCAATGCACTGATGTCTTATGATCATGCTCAATCAACTGCTCAGCAGGCAACATTGTTCTGGGGCGTTGAATAGGACACATAAAGCATGGCTACTATGTCACACTGCAAAATACAGTGTTGCCTACAGAGCAGCTGCTTGATCATGTCATAAGTTTACCAACCTCTTAAATAATTAATAACTTTTTCCTGTCTCGTTTTACATAGAAACGATTTTCAGCAAAGTTGTAGCTGAGAAAATTGTTTATAAGAATGGCTATCGAACTGTTTCGTAGCTCAATATGGAAAAAGACTAGAAGGCAATGAACAAAAAATTGAGATTTCCCATAGTAATTTACATGTAAACTTCAAATGGCTTGTGCGAAGTCTGTTTCTAACCAAATGAGTTGTAATTTTGGAAGGCTAATCAGGACCCGATTTGAAACCATTTAAGCACTGTTGAGCGAAAAAGTCAAATTTTGCATCAATTTTGCCCCAAGGTAGTATCCACATCCTGTTCAATCTATTCACCTCCGATATTTCGGCTTTCCCTGATGGTGGATCGTTGTCTCTGTTCGCAGACGACACATCCATCGTCTACAAGGGTAGGGTCATCGGAGCTCTGACTACCAAACTCCAGAGAGGCTTGGATGTCCTGTCTGAGTATTTCAACAGCTGGAAGATCCGTATCAACGTGGTGAAGACCCAGGTCATAATTTTTCCACACTCAAAATCTCCCAGACTTGTTCCGTCTGAGAATAACAAAATCTGCCTAAACGGCACAGTGGTGAAGTGGTCCAAAGAGGTAGTCTACGTCGGACTAACACTCGACAGCAAACTGATTTTCAGGGAGCATGTTGACAAAACAAAAACAAAATGCAACATCTTGATAAGGTCGTTATACCCGCTAATCAATAGGAGATCCACCCTATCCCTGAAAAACAAACTTGCTGTCTACAATCTGGGAGAGTTGCGCACATTCTCATCACCTCAAACTACAAAGGATCCAGAGCAAGATCCTGAGGATGATCCTCAACAATCCACCGCGTACTTGAAATTCTGAGGTCCACCACCAGGCTGGTCTTCAGACCTTGGCGTTACGGAGAACTGCTACCGCTGCATGCGATCCGATCAACAGATCATTAGGGATCTGGCACGTTAAGTTAGGCTAGGTTAGGTTAAGTAGGTAGAATATCAAATTTTCTAATTAAAATCAACAAATATGCATTCCTTAAAAGCAAAATGCAAACTCTTACAATGTAAAACTTAAATCAAACAGTAACTTGTTACAGACATAATCACTAAAGATGAAGAGCTTTCGGGCTAAAT